GACAGAGTCCAGGCATGTGACTCTCTCAGGGACATCAACATTGAGCGATTCTGGTGATAGTCGACTCTCTCAGAGCGCTTCTGGTGATGGTCGACTCGCTCACGGACATCGACATTGAGCGGTTCTGGTGATAGTCGACTCTCTCAGAGCGCTTCTGGTGATGGTCGACTCGCTCACGGACATCGACATTGAGCGATTCTGGTGATAGTCGACTCTCTCACGGACATCGACATTGAGCGATTCTGGTGATAGTCGACTCTCTCACTGACATCGACATTGAGCGATTCTGGTGATAGTCGACTCTCTCACGGACATCAACATTGAGCGATTCTGGTGATAGTCGTACATAACAAGATAGTTCACTCCTCTCTTAGAGCCAATTAAAAAAGTGTCCTCAAAATTCGGTGGCGCCCTCTTCGAAAAAATGCGGGCTTTACGAACAGAGTTACCCTACTTGTGAGAAAAACAGTAAAAGCGAAACTAACAAACTGTGCTATTCCTATTCTTCTTCTGGAGAAACGAAAGAGAGCTTCAAAACAAAGACTGCAGCGCCATCTGAACCAATGCGCGGACTTCCGCGGACACTTTTTTGGCTGAGTGAACTGTCTTGTTATGCACGATCTTTGGTGATGGTCGACTTTCTCAGGGACCTCAATATTGAGCGGTTCTGGTGATGGTCGACTCGCTCACGGACATCGACATTGAGCGGTTCTGGTGATGCTTCGACAAAACCAAAGTTCCAATTCAATAAAGTTATAAACGGGAAATGAAAAGTCATACTTTGAATTTTGAAAATGTATTGTGTAAATGGTGGAAGGAAAAGGAATCAAATGAGGTAGTGCTTGGCGAAGCCCACGTGGGACGCTCACTTTTAAAAACAATCAGGAAACGACAAATGCAGTTTCTGGGACCCCTGAATAGACATAAAGGTCTTGAGCATCTAGCTCTCACTGGCAAAATTGAAGGCAAACGAGGCGGGGTAGGCCCAGAACAACATACTTAGGGAAGCTAAACAAATAGGTAACGGGGGAAAATCAGGAAAACGTAGCTTTTTTAAAGATGATCCGAGCAAAGGAATGAATGGAGAACCATGATCGCCGATGTCTGTCGTAGATCTGGCACCGGATGAATGAGTTGAGTAAATGTATGGGCGTGACGCCCCATGTCAGCAATATTAGGTTTTAAAACGTCGAGACCTCCGAATTTAGCGACCCTCTCCGATAGGACAGAGCAAAATGCGCCTTGAACCTCGAAAACTCCACAACATAACGACCTGAGTTCAGGCCATCCAGTCTGGGATTCGAAACAAAGCCTTGTGGTCCGTAGTTCAGCAGGATACCAACGTGGTTGACAGAGCGCCTCAATGCGTGGCTTATGGGGACGATGTTGTTGTTGCTGTGGTTATTGATCAGATTACTTTTGTCCTGAAACGTAAACTGGTTGGGGGGGGGGGTGAGAGGTTATCATTAATATATG